ATGAACGTAGGAGGTTTTAAGACTCTAACTTCGTGTTGTAGCTTAATTGAGGTTAGTTTAGATACGTTCAAGACTCTCCAATTACCGGGAGAATATTTCAGCGAACCCTTTGATAATACCTGGTAGTGTCGTAACCCTGATTGCTCTACTCAGGTAAGTTACTCAGGTGACCCTTAAGGAATGTTGGTTAAGTATAGTCAGGGGTAAAGATCGAGCTCGGTAGTAGACACACACACACACACACACACACACACACACACACACACACACACACACACACACACACACACACACACACACACACACACACACACACACACTCACACACACACACACATCGTTTTGTTTGGCTTTATTTGTGCCTCCCCCCTAGCGTGGTGATGAAGGGGAGCAATAAGGAGGTTACATGTGAGGGGGGAGGTGGAGGGTGAGGAGGAGATAATTACGTCGTATGCCCGTCAGTGCTGATCAGCTGCGAGAGCGTGGGAGGGAGGGAGAGTGAGAGAGGGAGGGAAGGTGAAGGGGGTAGGCAGGATGGAGGAGGGAGAGTGAGAGAGGGAAGATTGAGATGGGGTGAAGCAGGGGGTGGAGGGAGGAGGGGGGAGAGTGAGAGAGGGAGGGAAGGTGAAGGGGGTAGGCAGGGGGGTGGAGGGAGGGGGAGGAGGGCGTGTTTTGGTTCATTGATTTGACTTAATTTTCTTAACTATTATAAATTTTTAAATATCTTAATTAATATTATTTATTTTATTTTATTATTCTATTAAAGTTTGTTTTTATACCAAATAACCAATTAATTATAAGATAAATAATTATTTCTTCATTACTTTTTATAAATGATCGAGATTATTGATTATTTTTGTTTACTAAGTGAAATATATTATCAGTTGCCTTGGGGGAGGGGGAGGGGGGGGCAATAGGCTATATCTATTGCCTCTGTACGTGACAACAGGTACCAGGCCAGGTGAAGAGGCCCGTGAGAACTGTCTGTCCGGCCTTCCAAACTCATTAAGAGACTGCTAAAAGGTACACACACACACACATACACACAGACCCACACATACATACACGCATACACAAGGAAATAAATAAACAAACACACACACACACACGGGACAAAGGACACATGTGCACCTCGAGCACGACAATAGCCAGGATGTACGTTAATTTACACTTGTGTACGAGGGCCAAGATGACCCCGCCAGCCACCATGATACCGTACGCTCTTACCTTGTTTACTTTCCTTCACCGTGAATCTCCCTCGGGGAAATATATCTCTTATCTGGTGAATTATGCCATCAATCTCTATCTCTCCCGTGTAGAAATAGAGAGAAAGAGATAATTTAGTTTCTGTGATACGTGGTAGAGATAAAATTGACTTACATGAGAGATACAGAGAGATATATATACCAAATTGTGATACGTGGAAGAGATGAAATTAATGAGAGAGATTGAGAAAGACAAGAATAACCAGGTTGTGAGACTTTTATGCAAGACAACTTCGCCAAGACGAGCAAACAGGAGCGTCCGGCGTTGCTTTATCCACCTTACAGAGAAGCATTTCTTGGAAGTTTCGCCAGACGGATGATCGCCGGCCTACTGTCTGCATTGACGTTATATTGTGGTGGGAACTTGAGCTCTTGAGTATGATGACTTAACCCCTTGAGTATGACTTAACCCTTTAGTTTGATTGATGACTTAACCCTTTTAGTAGGTAAAATAACCCCTTGAATTTGATAAACTTAACCCTTGAGTATGATGACTTAACCCTTGAGTGATGACTTAACCCTTGAGTATGATGACTTAACCCCTGAGTATGACTTAACCCTTTAGTTTGATTGATGGCTTAACCTTTCAGTATGGTAAAATAACCCCTGAATATGATAAACTTAACCCCTGAGTATGATGACTCTCCATGGTTGACTTAACCCCTTGAGTATGATGACTTTAACCCTGAGTATGATGACTTAACCCTTGAGTATGATGACTTAACCCTTGAATATGATAAACTTAACCCCTTGAGTATAATGGCTTAACCCCTTGAGTAGATGATTCTAACCCTTGAGTATGATGACTTAACCCCTTGAGTATGATGACTTAACCCCTGAGTATAATGGCTTAACCCCTTGAGTATGATGACTTAACCCCTTGAGTATAATGGCTGAACCCCGAGTATGATGACTTAACCCCTTGAGTATGATGATTTAACCCCTTTGAGTATGATGACTTAACCCTTGAGTATGATGATTTAACCCTTGAGTATGATGATTTAACCCTTGAGTATGATGACAACCCCTTGAGTATGATGATTTAACCCTGAGTATGATGATTTAACCCCTTGAGTATGATGATTTAACCCTTGAGTATGATGACTTAACCCTTGAGTATGATGATTTAACCCTTGAGTATGTATTTAAAGGTATATTCTCAGGTAGAGGGTATATTTAAAGGTATATCAAGCATTATATAATAGATTTAAGGGTATACAATATATTTTACGGTATAAGGTATTTTTGAGCTAATTAGCGAACCCAAGGAAATGAGAGGGGGGGAGGGGGTGAGAGAGAGAGGTGAGGGGGGGGGGGTGAGAGAGAGGTGAGGGGGAGGGGGGAGAGAGGAGGGAGGGGGGGGGGGGGGGAGGGGGAGAGAGGGAGAGGTGAGAGAGAGAGAGGTGAGGGGAGAGGGGTGAGAGAGAGAGGTGAGGGGAGAGAGGGGGTGAGAGAGAGTGAGGGGAGAGGGGTGAGAGAGAGAGGTGAGGGGAGAGGGGTGAGAGAGAGGTGAGGGGAGAGAGGGGGGTGAGAGAGAGGTGAGGGGAGAGGGGTGAGAGAGAGGTGAGGGAGAGAGGGGTGACGAGAGAGAGAGGTGAGGGGGAGAGAGGGGAGAGAGAGGTTGCAGGTGCTTCATTAAGGGATGGTAGTTAAGGCTCACACTACATTAACCTAACCTAACTTCTAACCCAGTAAGAGGGTGAGTCTTACCACCACCTGAGGGTTAATGGTATATAGTGGTGGGTGTATGTTAGGGAGAGGGAGGAGGGAGTGTTAGGTTTGGTTAGGTTTGGTTAGTTTGGTTGTTAGTTAAGGGAGTGGTTAGGTTTGGTTAGGTTAGGTTTAGTTTGGTAGGTTTGGTTAGGTTAGGTTATTGGTTTTGGTTAGGTTTGGTTAGGTTAAGGAGTGGTTAGGTTTGGTAGGTTTGGTTAGGTTTGGTTAGGTTTGGTTAGGTTTGGTTAGGTTAATAGTATGTTGGTTAGGTTTAGACTATTCAAGATACTATAAGTAGACTGGGTTAACATAAGTCAGGTTAAGTTAAATTGTTTCATGTTAGGGTTAGGTTAAGTTAGGCTAACAATATTAACATTACTATACCTAAGTTAACATTATGAAGGCTAAGTTACTATCAACATTTAACATTATGTCTTAAGTTAACATACACTACTGCATTTGTTAACGTGCCTACAACCTAAACTAACCCTCACCTAACCTAACCTAACCCATTCTAACAATTTATCCCTGATTTTAACATTGATGTAGATATATTTGTTTAAATACATTGTTGCCACATGTTTAATATATACAGTGTTGCCATGTCATTATATACAGTGTTGCCACATTATTTAGTAGCTATATACAATGTTGCCATGTCATTATTATATTTTACATTGTTGCCACATCATCATTATTATTCATATCGTGACCCCGTTAGAGAGAGAGAGAGAGAGAGAGAGAGAGAGAGAGGGAGAGGAGGAGGCACTACTGAGGCACTACTGAGGCACTACTGAGGCATTATTAGGCACTTTACACTGGCACTTACCGAGGTGCACACAGCGATATCCTAACATACAGAGCATCAACGTCTGTCTGTCTGTCTGTCTGTCTGTCTGTCTGTCTGTCAAAACCCCAAACTCACTGATTGCGTTTCTCCCCGATCACCCCCAAAAAGAGGAGGAGGAAGGAGGAGAAGGAGCACGATGAATAAAGCAGAAGAAAGGGAAGGAAGGGGAAGAGGAAGGGAGGAATGTGAAGAAGAAGGAGGAAGAGGAAGAGGAAGGAGAAGAAGAGGTGGAGGAAGATGAAGATGGAAGGAAGGGTAGGAGAAACAAGATGAATGAAGAAGAAGAAGAAGAAGAAGAAGAAGGAGGAGAGAATAGGGTTCAAGAGAGAGAGAGAGAGAGAGAGAGAGGTGCACAATGTAGGACTCCCATTATTATATACAAGTTGTCATATCATTATATAAAGTTTCCACATCATTGTATCGTTGCCATATCATTATATAAGTTGTTTCCAAGTCGTTTTATACGTTGCCACATCATTATGTATACATTGCTGCCACTTCATTATATAAAGTTGTCACATCATTATATACATTGTTGCCATATCATTATAAATAGTTGCCATAACATTGTATCGTTGCCATATCATAATATAAATTGTTACCACGCCGGTATACATATTGCCCTAATTTATTGTATATATATATATATATATATATATATATATATATATATATATGTAGTTGATATATATATGCTGATTATTAGCATATACCTACGCGCACTTACAGTGATTTATTTATATATAGATAATATATATATATATATATATATATATATATATATATATATATATATATATATATATATATATATATATATATATATATATTGTTACTACATCTTTATATATTTGGTTGCCACATCATTATGTATATTGTTGTCATATATAAATTGTTGCCACATCATTGTATGCATTGTTACCATGTCATTTTACATATTGTTGCCATATCATTATATAAACTGTTGCCATATCATTATATTAACTGTTGCTATATAATTATATTTAAAATGTTGCCACATCATTATATAAACTGTTACCACATCATTATATTATAGCCACATCATTATATACATTATTACTAGGTTACTTTATACATGCCTATATCATCGATGTTAGATTTACATTATGTTGTTACCAGCATGTGTGTACATTACCGTGTCTCCCTTACAGCCTATGGTTACGGCTACACGCAGCAAGACTACAATCCCAACAGCCGAGGTACTGTACTCTTATTGTCTCTCTCTCCGTTTTCTTTATTATGTGTTTTTTTTGTTGTTGTTTTTTTTGTGTTTTTTTTTGTGTTGTTTTTTGTTGTTGTTTTATATGTGTCTCAGTCTCCCGTTTTCTTTAATATATCTTCATCGTCAGCACCTCTCCCAGTACCGGAAGGAGGGCGAGAGGTCTTGTGGCCTCTTCTTAGTGCTGGAGGAGGTAGCGGGGGGCTCTCTACATAACCTCTGGTGTTTATAAATATTTAAATGTGTTTTTTACGAATGTTTAATGTTATTTATGTGTGGTTTTATCTTATGTGTGATTTATCCGATGACCTATGACCTAAGCTGTTGCGTCGCCAGAGGTGTAATTACCATAAGCGATCGTTAGTATGTGTCTTAGTCGTTCATTGTCTTTAATATATGTCTACCTGCCACTGTCTTTACATTATGTCTACCTGCCACTTTCACATTATGTCTACCTGCCACTGTCTTTAGATTATGTCTACCTGCCATTGTCTTTACATTATGTCTACCTGCCACTGTCTTTACATTATGTCTACCTGCCACTGTCTTTATTATGTCTACCTGCCACTGTCTTTACTTATGTCTACCTGCCACTGTCTTTACATTATGTCTACCTGCCACTGTCTCCATTATGTCTACCTGCCATTGTCTTTACATTATGTCTACCTGCCACTGTCTTTACATTATGTCTACCTGCCACTGTCTTTAATTATGTCTACCTGCCACTGTCTCTACATATGTCTACCTGCACTGTCTTTACATTATGTCTACCTGCCCTGCCACTGTCTTTACATTATGTCTACCTGCACTGTCTACATTATTCTACTGCCATCTTTACATTATGTCTACCTGCTGTCTCTAATTATATCTACCTGCCACTTCTTTACATATGTCTACCTGCCACTGTCTTTACATTATCTCTACCTGCCACTGCACATTATGTCTACCTGCCACTGTCTTTCATTATGTCCTGCCACTGTCTTTACATTGTCTACCTGCCACTGTCTCTACATTATGTCTACCTGCCTGTCTTTTCATTATGTCTACCTGCCACTGTCTTTACATTATGTCTACCTGCCACTGTCTTTACATTATGTCTACCTGCCACTGTCTTTACATTATGTCTACCTGCCACTGTCTTTACATTATGTCTACCTGCCACTGTCTCTACATTGTCTACCTGCCACTGTCTTTACATTATGTCTCACCTACCCTGTCTTTACATTATGTCTACCTGCCACTTTCTTTACATTATGTCTACCTGCCACTGTCTTTACATTGTCTACCTGCCACTCTTTACATTATGTCTACCTGCCACTGTCTTTACATTATGTCTACCTGCCTGTCTTTACATTATGTCTACCTGCCACTGTCTCTACATTATGTCTACCTGCCTGTCTTTACATTATGTCTACCTGCCACTGTCTTTACATTATGTCTACCTGCCACTGTCACATTATGTCTACCTGCCACTGTCTTTACATTATGTCTACCTGCCACTGTCTTTACATTATGTCTACCTGCCTGTCTCTACATTATGTCTACCCACTGTCTTTACATTATGTCTACCTGCCCTGTCTTTACATGTCTACCTGCCACTTCTCACATTATGTCTACCTGCCACTGTCTTTACATTATGTCTACCTGCCTGTCTTTACATTATGTCTACCTGCCTGTCTTTACATTATGTCTACCTGCCACTGTCTTTAATTATGTCTACCTATGTCTTTACATTATGTCTACCTGCCACTGTCTTTACATTATGTCTACCTGCCACTGTCTTTACATTATGTCTACCTGCCTGTCTCTACATTATGTCTACCTGCCACTGTCTTTACATTATGTCTACCTGCCACTGTCTTTACATTATGTCTACCTGCCACTGTCTTTACATTATGTCTACCTGCCACTGTCTTTACATTATGTCTACCTGCCACTGTCTTTACATTATGTCTACCTGCCACTGTCTTTACATTATGTCTACCTGCCACTGTCTTTACATTATGTCTACCTGCCTGTCTTTACATGTCACCTGCTTTTTTTGCCTGTCTTTACATTATGTCTACCTGCCACTGTCTTTACATTATGTCCTTACTGTCTTTACATTATGTCTACCTGCCACTGTCTTTACATTATGTCCCTACTGTCTATTATGTCTACCTGCCACTGTCTTTACATTATACCTGCCTGTCTCTACATTATGTCTACCTGCCACTGTCTTTACATTATGTCTACCTGCCACTGTCTTTACATATGTCTACCCTGTCTTTACATTATGTCTACCTGCCACTGTCTTTACATTATGTCTACCTACTGTCTTTACATATGTCTACCTGCCACTGTCTTTACATTATGTCTACCTGCCTGTCTTTACATATGTCTACCTGCCACTGTCTTTACATTATGTCTACCTGCCACTGTCTTTACATTATGTCTACCTGCCACTGTCTTTTATGTCTACCTGCATTACATTATGTCTACCTGCACTTTCTTTTTCTCCTCCACTGTCTTTACATTATGTCTACCTGCCACTGTCTTTACATTATGTCTACCTGCCACTGTCTCTACATTATGTCTACCTGCCACTGTCTTTACATTATGTCTACCTGCCACTGTCTTTACATTATGTCTACCTGCCACTGTCTTTACATTATGTCTACCTGCCACTGTCTTTACATTATGTCTACCTGCCACTGTCTTTACATTATGTCTACCTGCCACTGTCTTTACATTATGTCTACCTGCCATTGTCTTTACATTATGTCTACCTGCCACTGTCTTTCATTATGTCTACCACTGTCTTTACATTATGTCTACCTGCCACTGTCTTTACATTATGTCACCTGCCACTGTCTTTACATTATGTCTACTCACTGTCTTTACATTATGTCTACCTGCCACTGTCTTTACATTATGTCTACCTGCCACTGTCTTTTACATTATGTCTACCTCACTGTCTTTACATTATGTCTACCTGCCACTGTCTCTACATTATGTCTACCTGCCACTGTCTTTACATTATGTCTACCTGCCACTGTCTCTACATAGTCTACCCACTGTCTTTACATTATGTCTTACCACTGTCTCTACATTATGTCTACCTGCCACTGTCTTCTTACATTATGTCTACCTGCCACTGTCTTTACATTATGTCTACCTGCCACTGTCTTTACATTATGTCTACCTGCCACTGTCTTTACATTATGTCTACCTGGCACTGTCTTTACATTATGTCTACCTGCCACTGTCTTTACATTATGTCTACCTGCCACTGTCTTTACATTATGTCTACCTGCCACTGTCTTACATTATGTCTACCTGCCACTGTCTTTACATTATGTCTACCTGCCACTGTCTTACATTATGTGTGTGTGTGTGGTAACCCGTTGTTATAAGCCGCCATACTGCTGTTGTTGTAGAGAGAGGAGAGAGAGTGAGAGAGAGAGAGAGAGAGAGAGAGAGTGAGAGAGTGAGAGAGAGTGAGAGAGAGAGAGAAAGAGGAGACAGAGAGAGTGAGAGAGTGAGAGAGAGAGAGAGTGCTATTATTCATATTATGGTCGATCAGGAAGACGACAGACCTTTGTTACGTCAACACGATATATATAGTGTGTTCATCTGACGGAGGAGAAGGAGAAGAGAGAGAGAGAGAGAGAGAGAGAGAGAGAGAGAGTAAGCCAGGACAGACAAAGCCACCAGTGATGAAACTAATCCATCGTCGACCTTCTTAATGAAGTTTGGACACCTGGTCCAAACTCTCTCTCTCTCTCTCTCTCTCTCTCTCTCTTTGTCCTTGCTATACCTATATGAACACACCAGGTGATAGTCAGTCGCTGTTCACTTACGTTAAAGGTGAACCCCCACACAGGTATATATGAGGGAGATATTCGTGCTCTCTCTTCTTTTTTTTTTTTTTTCTCTCTATCTCCCATTTCCTTTGTCTTTCAACGCTCCATTTTTCTCTTCCTGCTTCTCTTCCTCTCTTTCTCTTATTCTTTATTTGATTCTTTTCTCCTCCTTTTTTCTCTCTCTCTCTCTCTCTCTCTCTCTCTCTAATGAGGTCACATCCTCCTCGCCCTCAACGCATTTCTCTTCATTTTGTCAAATTTAGGAGAATCTAAACCCGAGAGAAAACGTGTCCTCGTGAAATATCTCTTTTTTCTCTCACTGTAACCATTTTCTCTCTATCTCTATCCACGTCTCTCAATTAATTTTGTTTGGGGGGGGGGTGAGGGAGTGAGGAGAGAGAATTGAGTTAGCGGGTGACATCTGGCAATTCAAAACGTCACCCTCGTCACCGTGTCTCAATGGTGGAGTTTCCCATCTTAGTATATATTTATGTCCTGTTAAATATAAACTAATATCGTACATTAAATCACTTGTTATCGTTTTGTTTTTGTTTTTATTGGTGATTGTTGATGTATATTTGGCTTTAATTGAAGTATAACTCAAACAAAACGAAGTAACTGCAAACGAAGTAATTCAAGTAAAACTAAGTATCTCAAACAAACCTAAGTAACATAAAGCGATAGTCTAAGTAACTCAAGCAGTCCAAGTAACTCAACAAACTAAGTAACTCAAGCAACAATAAGTAACTCAAACAAAGGTAAGTCCCTCAGAGGCTAGGCTAAGTGGATACTCTTGTTGGACCAAACTCCTGGTGTCAGAGAAGAGTCCCAACAGACCTACAAGATTCTCGGAGTTGTAAAAGTGAGACTATATTGTGTAATGGTTGTGTTGTGTAATGGTTGTGTTGTGTATAGGTTGTGATGTGTTGTGATGTGTTGTGATGTGTTGTGATGGGTTGTGATGTGTTGTGATGGGTTGTGATGGGTTGTGATGTGTTGTGATGGGTTGTGATGTGTTGTGATGGGTTGTGATGTGTAGATGGGTTGTGATGTGTCGTGATGTGTTCTGGTTGTGATGTGCTCCCTGGGGTGCTCTGAGTCTCACTGGGGAGTTTTCAGTAGAGGTTTTACATTA